GAGGAGCAGCTGCCGACCTCAGGTTTGCCTGTGGTGAGGGAGGAGGCGGGGAACAGCCCTAGGCCCAGCCCCTGGTTAGGCTGCGGAGCCCACACCCGGTCCCCACGGTCCCCACGGGAGTGGCTGCGGGGAGCTTGGTGAGAGACTGGGGAAGCAAAGCCGGTGAGTGGGCCCGAGGGCGAGGGCGACGGAGGAGTAAATTCTCATGGGATATTTCCTGAACCAGAGATCAGGCCTGACCCAGAAAACGATCAGACGCCACAGTATCAGCGCTTCACCTAAAATGCAGAGGGAGGTGACCACAGAAGAATCAGCCCAGGATGACAGTTGTTGCCTTAGGGTGAAAGAAAGGGTGATGCGGTCACTGGGCAGTGGCTGGTTTCCATGGACGTTTCCTTGCAGAATGCCATGAATTTAACCTCTGTGTGTGTGTGTGTGTGTGTGTGTGTGTGTGTGTTTCTTGTGTTAAGAAATGAAGATCCCAGGCAGCAGACGGAGAGATTCTCGTTTTCTTTTTCTGTTTTTGTCTTTGGTACTAGGCTCCACCACGGAGCCTCCCCCGACTTCTGTACTTTATTTAATGGAGACAGGGTCTCCCAGAGTTGTCCAGAGCCTCACGATGTGGCTGAGGCTGGCTCTGAACTCACCGTCCTCCTGCCTCAGCCTCCGGAGCTGCCTGCCGGGATCCCAGGTGTGGGCCACCACACCCAGCCACATTCCAGCTTCACTGTTTATCCTAGAGAAAAACTCACGCACCTGAGCAAGGACGAGACGGTCCTTAGGGTGGGAGCCGCGTCACACGCCTGTAACCCCAGCGACTCGGGAGGCAGGGGGATTGCAAGTTTGAGGTCCACCTAGGAATCTTAGTGAGACCTTGTCTCAAAAATAGAAAATAGAAATAAYGGGGGACGTAGTTCAGCAGTAGAACACCCCTGGGTTCAACCCTCAGTACGGCAAAAAAGAAAAAAAAAATTCAGTATAGAACTGTTAGAAAGGCCAAAGGTTGGAAACGACTTAGCTGCCCGGCCGAAGGAGACTCAGAACACGATGCAGCCTACCGCTATGGAAAACTGAATTTCAGTAAAAGAAATGGGCTGGGTCTCCATGGGTTAACACGAACACACCAAAAAATATATTCTCGGGTGAGATAAAACCACCTCTACGTTCTATACTGCATACTGCTGGCACGTCTTGGTGACACGGTCACTATGTGCTGTCCCTGGGCGCTGACGTATTTACCACGATCCCAGTGGGTGCCCCCAGAGTCAGCACATCGGTTACTTTTGGAAGGCACAGAGGAGAGAGTAGGAATTAAAGGCCATGGTCAAAGCCAAGTTTTGTATCATCCAGAATATTCTAAATTTTTTCAAAAGAAGATATTTGAATATTTATTGTGCAATTAAAAGTTAAACGACTACAACAAACCCAAAGTACCCGAATGTCGGGAGCCCGTGGACCACCCGCCCGGCTCGGCAGGCCCCCACTCAGGTTCCCGAGACCCGCTGGGGTCCGCGCTGATGTGGGAGCTGCCCAGACGGGCCTCCTTTCACAGCTCCTTACTGAAGACCCGCTGGGCCCCGGGCAGGGAAGTCGGCACCAGCCCCCAGAGGAGCACCCAGAGCTCGGGGACCCCGTGCCTCCTGCACCCCAGACAGACCACGGTGTCCAGGGAGAAGGTGCTTCCCCAGGGCTGCAGAGACAGAGGAGTTAACATCAAGACTGGGGAGGACTCTGCGTGATCAGTAGAGGACACATTGGACTGCATCGGGACCAGAGCCGTCCCTTTCATCTCGCGTCATCTGTGGAACTTGTTGTCCCCCACACACCCCATAAACACGCCACCCGTCTCTGTGGCTCCAGCCACCCACAGCAGCGTGGAGGGGCACCCTGTTGGACCCAATCAGATAGAAGTTAAAATATGGAGCCTTCGCGCCGCGCTCTTCAGCTGACCAAAGGCCTCTGACCCCTCAGAGCCACTCGGTCTCCACCGCCCGAGGGAGCGAGGGTTAAAGGAGATGGCAGGTGTGTAAACACCGGGCCCAGCCCGGCTGGCAGCAGGATGGCAGCAGCTTGGGGAYTGTCACCTCCCTCCCACCCCTAAGCAAAGAACCTGTCTCTGTCAACCCAGCAGGAGCACCGAAGGCACAGTCCAGAGCGCGCAGAGGACCCTTTTCCTGATCATTCTGTACTATTTGGATTCAAGAAAAATCAGTGTGTATTTTTCCAAATAAGCAATAGTATAAGTGGGTCCCTGTAAGACAAGGATCAATTTAAACCAGAGAACTGACAGAAGGGGGTCTCCCACACAGGCTTGCTCCCGGGAGGGGCTCTGCGGGCCGCGGGCTGGTGGGTGGAAGGGCTTCCCGTAGCCTGGAGAATCTGCGGGTGTCTTCCACTGAGCTGCAGCCCCAGCCTGAGGCCACTGTTTTTATTTCAAAACAGAGAGTCCAAGTATCTACCCAAAGTTGCTTTAATGAAGCAGAAGTCGATCTGTCCACTAAAGAATTTCCTTTCTGTATTTCCAACTTTTCTAAGCTCAGAACATTTTTTGTCATAGATGACTATAAAATGTGTTTGACTCAAAGAAGGGACACTAGTGCACTCTTTATCCCCATCACCAGCCTTTGGACACCAGGACGGCAGGTTCCAGGCTCCACAGAAAGGGGCCCCTGTGACGGGGTCCTCTGGATCCCTTCACTGTCCCTGTTGGATAATAATCATAATGACATAATGGAGTTTCTTGGTACCGGGGATTGAACTTAGGGGTGCTTAACGCCTGAGCCACCTCCCCAGCCCTATTTTGTATTTTATCTCAAGACAGGGTCTCACTGAGTTGCTTAGTGCCTCRCTATTGCTGAGGCTGGCTTTGAACTCATGATCCTCCTGCCTCAGCCTCCTGAGCCACTGGGATTACAGGTGTGCACCTGGCGTATAATGGAGTCTTATTCAGCCACAAAGAGGAATAAAACTATGTCATCTGCAAGAAAATGGGTGGAACTGGAGAACATCATGTCAAGTGAAATGAGCCAACTTGGAAGATGAAGGTGGTCTGCTTTCTCTCCTTTGTGGAATCCAGAGAGGAAAAAGCAGCAAGGTGGGGTGGGGGGGGTCTCCTGAAAGTCTAAGGGGGATCCGTGGCGTAGAGGGAAGGGAGCCGGGAGAGAGGAGGGAGGGATCATCCCCGGGGCATGGCCCAACGCACTGTTGATGATGGGCAKGGACAAGGGTGTGACCACGGACCCCATCACCACACACCACTGGAGGCACC